TAACCTAACAATTGGCTAGCTGAATGTATGTATTAATTAAGAACTATACTTGGACGACACTTTGACCAGTTTTAAAATGGACAATCATTCTGAAATTAAGTAGGTTAGTTTAGATACTTGAAAACATTATAACAGTTTATAATAGTAAACAAGTGACATAACTGAAAGAAGTAATCAATTACTGACCAGCGGTGACTCAACTGGCTTATGACGATGAAAATCGCGTTTTGAGACATCCTGTGGCAGAGCGCAGATAGCCCATTCTTAACTTTCATGGATATGTAAAGGATACTCACGAACTACAGTTGATAGGCTTGTTTGTTAAGAGCACAAAGCTATACAATGGGCTATATGTGCTGTGCCTACCACAGGTATCAAAACTCGATTTGTAGCATCGTAAGCCCTCAGACTTTCTGGTAAGTCACTAGGGTCGTAGTTGATGGGAGGGGAAAGTTATACGAAGATTTTACTATATCAAGGAACTTTTAATAAATAATCCGTAAATACAGTTCCCTTAGCGATTTCCCTTGTGTGTACGTATTTGTAGGATTTTCTTGGACTGTATTATCTCAATTTGTAACTATTATTATTTGATGTTGATTTAGTTAAGTAATAGAACCCAACTTGAAAATATTGACAGTCGGGCAACATGTTCATTACTAACAGGATTAATACAAAAGCACAAAAAAAAATACTTAGCTTTCTATTATAGAGATTATAATGGAACCAAATGGGTTTTAAAACGGTAGCACATTTAAATTCAAAATGAAGTTCAAGAAAAAATTGAACACGTTTGGTTATGAAAGTTATAACAAAGAAGACAAATAAAATTTAAATAAAACTATTTCATATACGAAATTATCTTACAAAAATGGCCCACTTTTAAAAGTTTCTCAATGAAGAAGAAAGTGTTAGTGTTAGTTTTGAAATGACCACAAGCTAACTCGTCCAGATCTGCAATAAACCAAATTACATAGAACTCGTAAACGCCACTTGTTGTTCTTTTAAATATTTCGAGCTCCTTCATGTGGCTCACCGGTAATTCTGAAGGCTTATAATGCAAAATCTGGGTTTCAATACCTGTGGTGGTTATAGCACAGAATGCCCATTGTGCAACTTTGCTCTTAACAACAATCAAACAAAAAATATTTCGAATGGATGTAATGAAACTGAAAGAAGCTCTAGTATAACAATAACGTTACAGATCAGATATTGTGTTGTGTTTATTTAACTGTTGTAATTAAAATAAAGAACTTACTTCTCACTGGTCCAGCGACCTCAAATCAGTGAGCTACTAATTAGATAAAATATTACAAAAGGAGGCAGTACTAGATAATTTACATAATAGTAGTAAATGGTTATCAGAATAAGATTTTCATTAAAAGATTCCATTCATATGGTAGGGCTCTGAAGCCCCCTGTCTTCCAATAAGTTAATAAGTGTATGTTTGTTTGTTGTTAAGCGCAAAGCTACATAATGGGCTGCCTTTGCTCTGAAAACCGCAGGACCATCGAAAATGAGACCTGCAACACGTCGTACCCCATCTAATTGCAGTGTCTTGTAACAGGTGACAATCCACGAATCCAGTGGAGAAAGCTGTCCACAAGACCCAAGCAACAGTATGCAACATAATCAATAATGATTTCCTTCTCGAAAAAACGTCATAAGTCACGTGTACACATGTTGCTTCCACGAAATATTAATTCAACCATCGCTTACCTTCAACAGCTGGAGAATAAAACGGGTATTTATGATGTTATACATGAAGCCATATTGGCCAAGTCACCAGATGCAGCACCAATTAACTTCTGAAACTGGGAATCCGTCGTTCTCCTACTACAGGTAGATTAATGAAAGGTATAGGGAGGAGGAGCATGCTTTGAACATGACAACTTTAAGACGGAGAATTTTGCTATGTAAACTGCGCTGCTGGACTATTTTCAAGGTGCACTGTCGTCAGATAGTGCATGACGTGGCGAGATTTCAAAATCGATTTAATGTAACTTACTCAACCTCTGTAAAATAGTTTTACTTTTCCGAGTAGAACGAGTGAGACACAAACGTTCATAAAATTAGTTTAGAGTTGTCCTTATTCCACATTACGCAGCAAAAATATCTTGAGGTCCATGTTCAAAAGAATATTGTGATAGAGACTGATTTAGACCAGTAGTTCTCAAACTTTTTCGTCCGAGGACCACTACCGCAAAAAAAACACAAAAAAACCTCACCTGAATTAATAGAAGAATAGCTCTACTTTGTGGACTAGTCCTCTGACCACCTGAAAGATCCCCGCGAACCAACACTGGTCCGTGGATTACATTTTGAGAACTACTGGTTTAGAGCTACGAAATTAGTGGAATTATAGCACCAGTTTATATACGTGTTCCGTTACGTTGGCTAGGATGTTCGACTTACAATCTTTAAGTCACGAATTCGAATCCCACCATCGTACATGCATGTCCGTTCACCAGTGGGGTCGTTATAATGTAACGTTCAATCCCACTATTAGTTGGTAAAGAGTAGCCCAAGAGTTGGAGGGTGTGTAGTGTTGACTAACTGCTTCCCCTTTATTTTATAATTTCTAACTTAGGGATGGGTAAAGCGGATAGCGTTTGAGTAGCTTTGAGCGAAATTAAACAAACAAACAAACCGTGCTTGGACATATTCGATAATCGACATAATTACAGTAAATAATGAACATTGTTGTAGCCCACAAAGTGAAATGTTTGTTTGGTCAACAGGTTTAGTCCGGTCAAATGCTAGTTATATATAGACAAAAAAACTTGTCATGGTAAGAAGGTTCTATGCAAGGTTTTTGATTTTACTTAACCACAACAACCTACGGTAAAAATAGTAAAAACTGCTGACTTCAACTCGGTAATTATTGTTTTTATTGACTAATACAGTGCCTTGCAAACGTATTCACTCCCTACCAATAATGTCACATTTTAATGAAATACAAATAATGTAAAAAAAAAACTTTAATGAACTTGTTTTTATTCAAATCTCTAATGATCAAATTTAACACTGTTATTTGTGAAGGAGGTTGAATGTCAGCAAAACCTATAAAGAAAATATATAAATTGAAATTTGTTGATTGCATAAGCATTCAGTCCCCTAAGTCAGTACTTGGTGGAAACACCTTTGGCAGCAATTACTACTGTGAGTCTTTTTGGATAGGTCTCTACCAGCTTTACACAACGGGATGGTGTAATTTTTGCCAATTCTTCCTGGCAAAATTGCTTCAATTCTGACAAGTTGGTTGATGGACTGCAATCTTCAAGTCTCGCCATAAATTTTCCATTAGATGCAAGTCAGGACTTTGACTGGGCCACTCTAGGGCATTCATTTTCCTCTTTTGAAACTAATCCAGTGTGGCTTTGGCCTTGTGCTTCGGGTCATTGTCCAGCTGATATGTGAATACTCGACCCAGTTTTAGATTCTTGTTTGACAGTTGGGATGGTGTTGACTGAGTGATGTGCTATGTTGGACTTGCGACAGCCGTAACGCTTTGAACTTCGAACAAAAAACAAATCCTTCTACCACACGTCTGCAGTATCATTTACATGCTTTATCACGAACTCCATGCAAAACTTAAGATGATACTTTTTCAGTAATGGTTTCTTTTCTGCCACTCACCCACACAGGCCAGCTTTGTGTAGAAACCAGGATATTGTTGATGTGTGAACACTGACTCCTATCTCAGACGTGGAACTTTACAAATGTTTCGAAAACACTGTTGGCTTTACAGTGACATCCCTAACGAGTTTCCTGCTTGCCCGGCTGCTTAGTTTGGAAGGGCAGCCTGATCTGGGTAGTGACTGAATGGTATAAAGCACATTACACTTCTTAATGATGGACTTCACCGTACTCAAATGGATAATCACTGACTTTGAAATTTTCTTGTAACCTTCTCCTAATTTATACTTCTCTATCACTTTATGCTTGACTTGTTTGGAAAGCTCCTTGGTCTTCATGGTTGGTTTGTCGTATCACTATGTTAGGTGTGGTTGAACAGATGTACTTGCTCTGAATTCAAGTTAAACCACTTTGATTACACACAGACAGAGACCATTACACTAATTCTGTGACGTTTCAAACTAAACTTTTGCACCTGAACTGATTTAGAGCTGCTGTAGCAAAGGGGTTGAATATTTATGCAATTGAGAATATTATACTTTTCTTTGAAAATCTAACTTATTTACGTAATATCAGCGTTTTTTAGCTTTCTCAGTTTGGAATGATTGTGTAGATTCTAAATATAAAGACTTATTTGAAAGTTTCATGATTACAAGCTCAGAGGGCAACAAAATGTGGAAACCTTGCAAGGGGTGAATATGTACTTGTATATAGAACCATTAATGATACACTATGATATGCATTTCGCATTGCGTGCCTCTAAGTATACTCTCCACCTCCAATGTCTCTTGAATTTCGCGCAAAGCTACTCGAGAGCTATCAGAGACAGACTAGAGGGAAGGCAGCTAGTCAACACCACCCACTGCCAACTATGGGGCCACTCCTTTACTAAAGATCATTGGAACAGACCGTTACATTATAGCGCCCCCACGGCTGAAAGGGTGAGCATGTTATGCGGTTGGGATTCGAACCCGCGACCCGCAAATTATCTTTCGAGTACTCTTACCACTAAGCCTTCAGTGGTAAGTCTGCAGGCTTATGACGCTAAAAATCGGATTTCGATACCCGTGGTGGACAGAGCACAGATTGTCAATTGTGTAGCTTTGCGTTTAACAACAAACAAGCTAAAAATACTTTGTTATTTCGAATTATATTTACGTTATTGTATAGATATTACTGTTTGTTTCGTATGGTGAGACATAAATTCTAGCATGTTTTATTATATAAAGGTCTATTTTGAGATACTCAAACCTTTGAGCTATTTAAAAAAAATTGAGCAAACCACATTCAACTAACTGGTTACAAGTACATCCATTATAATCTATCGTTCCCTTTCGAAAATAATTAAACAATAAACTTACCCAGAAAAGAAGTCAGTAAAACAAGTAAAAGAAAACAAACTAATGGGCTTACAACATTGAAAAGAAACTGACAACAACGTCACTATCACTGAAAACCGTTTGTGGTCGGAATATGTATGAGATATACCTAGTCGCTTATCTTTTCGCTTATCTTTAACCGTACAAAGGTCGCGCGTTAAATATTGATAACTAAACACCTACTTCATACACTGCTGATTAAAAAAGCTTTGACCGAGACTCATGAACTATAGGTTACAACAGTGGTAGGGAAAACATTAATTTGGACTGAGTCAATTATGTCTGAAACAAAACAACGGCCATCTTTGAAAGCCTCCCACGTATCAAGTATCACGTGTAAGAGTTAGTTCACGTACACCTGACTTTTGCTGTTTTTCGAATGTGAAAATTGTATTTCGCAGTAATGGCAAACTTTGAGTTATACATATATATATAAATAAATGTATATTTTATTGGAATATGTAAAATATTTACAATTAAAAATGTAAGAATGGTATATTGAACAAAAAGATATACCCATTTGCGAGTTGATCTTTATTTCTGATCTAAGGTAATATTAATTTTCAAATATTTGTTTCTGAACTTCGATCCTACACCAGATGCTTGAAAACCATACTACTAAGTTGTTTGGGGAGCATCATTCTCGATTTGCACACGTGTTGTCGTTGTTCAGAGCAGATGTCGAATATTCACTGTAGTTCTTTGACGTAGAAGAGCCGATGTAATCTTCTGAGCACAAAGTACAGGTGTATCTGTTGACTTCGCATAATACGGTGGGGATTTTATCTTTATAAGAAGAAGAAATTACAATGTTTAAAAGTCCTTCTGAAACAAAATTCTGTATAAGTCTACACGTGATATCATCTATACAAATATACCGTTGATGTGTACATTGTGTATGATCAAGCTGTTAGTGGTCCTTGGCCTACACTGTGATCGCGTAGGTTGTTAACACCAGGAAAAGCACAGAAACACAGAGACGACAAAAGGCGAAATATAGAGGTAATAAAAAGTTTCATCTCAAAATGATTTTTCTATTTTCTATTATATGTAATTACATGTGCGTTTCACTCTTGTACGCCCACGACGCGACTTGAATAACGAACTACACGTAAAATTTCAGTCTTGATAATCTACATCAATACAGTTGGTTTTAATGTAGTTTAATTTCTGAAGTATAGCACGATATATACATTGTATCATAAAAACTGCACGATACGTTTCTAGTAAAGATATTTCTGATACCGTTAAGGTGGAAATTAACTCGAGGATATTAGGCGTGTCTTCAATATTTGTTTGTTTCCACGTCAGATTTATTACACGTTATCTTACGGTGAAAACCAAGTAAAATTATAGTAATTGGAAACATGCATAACACCTGTGATCATGTTGTTCTTAACGTAGATTATGTGTCTTCTACAGAGACAATTTCTGATCAATTTCTACAGAGGGCGTTCGCATCAAAACAAAAAAAGTATACATAGTGAAAGCCACATCGTACTCGAAACAAAAACATACTGCGAAGCATAATCAATTACATTACAAATAGGAATAATTAAACTAAAAAAAACATTCTGAATTAACTCGAATATAATTTTAAACCCGCAAGAATAAAAACATTCGCTTACTTGTTAACTTAATAAATGCTGTTACAATTAAATTCATAACGTTTAGTTGTTTTATCAGTAATATCCTTGAACACCTTGAGTAACAGTACCTACTCTGGAAGCTAGAGGGCTACTCTTGCCTAACGTTCACCAGTGGACCTAAAACGTTAAAATACAGATACCTATTGCGTGGGTTTGTGTTAAAATAAACAAACAAACTTGAGTGATTGAATAAAGGGAGTTGACCATCATTCTTATACTGGACCCAACGTTCGAAACGTGTTTTTGTGGCAATGAGAATGGAACATAACCTTTCAACTGGTTAATAATAAAATGAAACAGCTGAAAGATAGTTACATTTGAAACCAGATATCTACTAAGTAGGTACATTCATTAACAAATGGTTAAAGTCGAAACCAGGGCTGGAGTACCGGACAGGCAAAAATGTAAAGGCTGTTTATAATTATTTATTGTTATCTTGCCTTTAGAGGGTAGCGAATAATGGAATGTGTCAGACATACACTTCAGATCCCCTTCCCACACACAGTATACAGTAGAAAACATACACTTCAGTTCTCCTTCCTACATGATTTACAGTAGAAAGCATAAAATTCAATCCCCCTCCCACCACATTATACAGTAGAAAGCATACACTTCAGTTCCCCTTTCCTACACATTATACAGCAGAAAGCATACACTTCAGTTCCTCTTTCCTACACGATATACAATAGAAACCATACACTTCAGTTCCCCTCCCTACACAGTATACAGTAGAAAGAAACATTTCAGTTCCTCTTTCCTACACGATATACAATAGAAACCATACACTTCAGTTCCCCTCCCTACACAGTATACAGTAGAAAGAAAACATTTCAGTTCCAAAGTGTTTTCTTTCTACTGTATCTTGTGCAGGGAGAGGAACTGAAGTGTTTTCTTTCTACTGTATACTGTGTAGGGAGGGGAAATGAAGTGTATGGTTTCTACTGTATATCGTGTAGGAAAGAAGTTCCCCTCCCTGCACGAGATACAGTAGAAAGCATAAACTTCAGTTCCCCTCCCTACACGATATACAGTAGAAATGCTATATTCTTATTTTCATGAAGAACGCATAATAAAAACATTTCAGAAAAGTGTAATTAAAATTACTGGAAACAAATTCGTGATATAAAAGCATTGCGCAACAGCGATAGACTAAATATTTTTTCAGAAAACTCATACAATAAAAATATTATTATAGAATTATTTTAAGTTTGTTACAAATGCAAGACTGTTAAAAAGTGACAATTAATACATTATTAACTCAAATGTGGTTTAAAATCGAACCTAAAAGAAACGTGTCTGACGGAAAGCATCGCCTGTCTGGTGTTCAATTTCGGAAAACAGAAAAAAAGAGCTGTAAAAACGAAACAAAAAGGCAATGTTCTCAAGTTTGGAGTCTTTGGCAAGAAGCTAAATTTCAGGTTTGTGGCTAGTCTTGAAATATGGACGACTTACTTTAACTCTTGGCATGTCTCGAGCTACTCTACAACTGAGAGAGAATAAAGACAAAATATATTTTACATCAGAGAGAGCTTTGCACAGACATTGGTGGACATAAGTGAGCATCATATTCGTTCACAAAAAGAAAAGGGAGAATTTTTATACAAAAGTTGTGTGAACCTATCTTTGATCCACATCAAAACTTCGAGGTACATTTCTTTAACATCATTGTCGGCATTGCAATAGAGTTCGTGGAAGAGAAGTTTCAACTCATAATTCAGTTACCTGGACTGTATTGTCGACATTAACCCAATAGACTTATTGAGACACTACGTGGACTCAATACTGACTTATCAGATGGCAACTGATGGCAATGCAATGGAAAGTAATAAAATGACTGAAAAGTTTATTGGAAAACATGTGCAAAAACAGAGTAGTATTGTCGTTTGTCAACAGTGCTGCTGCACAGAAGATTACATTCACTTTGCCTATCTTATACGTTCAAATCAACCCAAATCTCTCTATATTCAGCCATAGCACATCTAAGCTAGCTCGAATAGTAGCAGTTTCTATCAACTTATTTGACCAACAATACCGCTGATCATAATAATTTATAATAAATTAATATCACAGCTCGCTAGATGAAGTACTTACTTTAAACATTTTTCAAAGATATAAAGAAAAATAATAAATTATATTAATCACCAGAAAGATTTGACTTTATTGAGATAGGGGCGTGTGAATCTATAACTTAGGGTATGCTTTTCATTACCGATAAAGATAATTTCAGTTATTTTTCTATTAACAGGGCTAAAAGTGTTTGGAACTTTTTTTTTTTTGTGGGGGAGGACTAAAGATAGGTTCATCACAGTTGTAAAAAGCCTAGTGTAAAGCGAAAGGTTGATGATAATCACCCTTTTTATTTTTCTTTGGATGTCATGATCCTATTGCGTTTAGGGCTAAGCGTTTGTCCTCTATAATTTTGTCTATATGATATACAGGCTAGTCTATAAACAACGTTTTTTAAAGCACGTGTATTATCCAGCCCTGAAGCGCAAGCCATCTTGTTTTTACGAGCAAAGGAGACAAAATGAAGTGTGGTGCCTGACTTTTCCGCAAACCTCATATTAAAACTACTGTGCTTTAGGATATTTTTAATGATTCATTGATAAATGGTAGTGATAAAGTGAAATCAATATTTTGGATGGACTTTCTCTTTTCGTGTTTATTTTTTGCTTTGTTAAAGGTGCGAGCTGTGTACCCATTTTGCTAAAGCTGTTGTTTAAATTTATCTCTGCGATGAACTTATCTCTAATATTCCCTTTATCACAGAAATTAAGAGAAATGTGAACAAATCTGTTATTAATTCATTATATAACAATTATCATTAGGCCATTGGTTTTCCAATATTTCGTCGGATTTCAGCGTTTAAACTGTAACTACAACAGAAATAACTGATTTACTCATATATCTTGCGGTATTTAATTAATAAAAGTAATACAGGATCGTAACCACAGTTGTTTATTACTGCAGTAACAAAGGTATTTTGTTACATGTTTCGGCTACATTTGTTCAGGCAGTCACCAGAATGATCCTAACTGATAATGGGCCGAACAAATGTGGCCGAAAGGTGTACCAATTTTTTATTTGCAATAATAAACAACTGTGGTCCAAATGATGTATTACTCTTATCACAGAAACAGTTTTAAAAAACGTTTAACCACATTGATAGAAATATAATTAAAGGTATATCCATCATATATATAAATACAACCATAAATAATAAAGAGAACCTTTCTGGCTATTAATAGATTTTTAATGTTTAAAAAAGTGTAAAGTACACCATCTAGCGAACTCTGGTAATTGTTTATTGTAATTTTTCTAATAATATCGATATTGTTGGTAAAATTTCGTGTGTTCTTGAACGTGT